ATATTTTTGAAGGAAACTTCAGCCTGTGCACATTGTTTTTAGGAAACTTATATATTTGTTATTACATAATTACTAGTACTTATTTCATTTGTTTTTGGCTATGATGAATTGTTCTAAAAATTAATGGTAATTTCTGTACCCAGGTGGTCCCTCCCGACACCACCCACCCCACCTCCTCCTCTATGCGTCTCGAGCCACAGGCAGACGGGATTAATAAAGTACGGCCCGCCCCATTGCTTTCATATCCAGACAATTCAATGATTATCCGGCTGACTGTCCGAATAGTGTAACATCGGCAGTAGTTAACCGGCTCCGATTTTTTTCCGGCTCCCATGGCCATTTTGGCCAGATATTGAGGTAACTTTATCCGGTCACAATTTTGGCCGTATAAGGGCGTTTTCCGGATATTCGAATCCCGGATAATCGCGTGGTTACAGTATGTTATAATACTTTTTTTTAAACATGGGATATTACACACAGTTTGTATTCATATCAAATTAATTGTTTTAATTTTTGCAAAACTACTAATGATGCAAAGCATTTTTGGCAATGTATTTATCAAAGTATAAAGTCAATATAGAAAATAAAAAAAGCACCCAAGAAGTAATACTCCAAAATACATCTATAATATTCCAAAATATACAGCACTGAATGTAATGGAGAAAGTAATCAACAACAGAAGGCACCAAGCCACTATGATTACAGTATGTAGCACCATCAATGTCACAGGATATTCAAAAGGGCTAAAGATCAATAAGGATGCCGGTATGAGAACAAAAGCACATATGACGAGCGATATCAAAGATATCAGATTAACTTATAATTCTGTTGAGGGACAAATGGCTACAAGGGACAATTGGAAAGCAAGACACATGAGCACCCTGAAAATTGGGACATTCTACAAGGAGGTGCATGACTGCAAGAGGCATAATGCAATTGGGACAATAAGGAGCAGGGCGGTATTCCATTAAATGCCTATGGGTTAAGCGTGCATGGCTAATACCAACCCGTTCTCGCAAATTTAATAAGTCAATATTGACTTATTAAATATGTGCATAGGTGACATACTTAACATAATAGATACCCTTAAAAAGATTCATAGAAAACACCAACCTTACCTAACCTTGTTAGTATCTTAAAATAAGCATCTTATTGATTCGTAATTACAATTATTACCTAACCTATAATAGGTATAGGTTAAGTAATAATTGTAATTACGAAGCAATAAGAGGCTTATCTTAAGATACTAACAAGGTTAGGTAAGGTCGGTGTTTTCTATGAATCTTTTTAGGGGTATCTATTATGTTTAGTATATCACCTATGCACGTAGTTAATAAGTCAATATTGACTTTACGAATTTGCGAGAACGGGTTGGCTAATACATAACATAGAGCAATTTTCCACCACCAATTACAGTGGTAGGAGGAAGACCAAGGAGACAGACTACTCTTAACAGCACACAGTTTAGCCAGAAAAAACTATGGGAATTAAACCTCACATTCCTAGAAGACAGAAGTTAGGAGAGATGTGATCACCACCTACAAAATTCTCAGAATTTACAGGGTGGAAAAAGACAAACTATTTACTACGAGTAGAACACAAACAAGGGGGACACAGGTGGAAGCTTAGTACCCAAATGAGCCACAGACACAATGTTTTCAGTGTCAGGGTAGTTAACAAATGGAATATACTAGGCAATGATGTGGTAGAGGCAAGGCAGACTCCACACAGTTTCAAATGTAGATATGATAGAGCCAATCGGCTTAGGAACCTGTACACCAGTTGATTGACAATTGAGAAGCAGAACCAAAGATCCAAAACTCAGTCCCTACAAGCACAACTAGGCAAGTTTGTTATCTGTAACACAAGCCCAACAACCCTGCAAATGATCTCTGAGGAATGAATGACAGGGTAGAAATCTATCCACGGAGAAAGAAAATGGGCACACACTAGGGAAGCACTTCAGGTAACAAGAAAAAAAAAAAACAACGGTCACAAACCATGACCCAAGGCCATGCAAAATGAACAAGACACCCGGCTGCCAAAACCCAGAGCGTCCACCAAAACCTCTGCACGCAAGGAAGGCCCAAGAATGATTAGCAGGGAGCATGAAAAGATCAGCCTACAGAAGCACAAGGGCACGAGGGGTAGACTGCAGGCGGGCAGTCTTCTGTAGCAGCATAAGTTACAGAAGACAACCAGAGAAACACGAGCCCTGGAACATGAAATGAGCGAACCACAAAGTGATGACCGAAACAAAACCGGTGGCACAAAGGGAGCGGCAGGAAAGCTGGCCCAGGACTTGGCACATGATGCACCCCCAGGAGAAACAACCAAGCATCCACCACAAAAAGGTCCCACTGGAAACCAACCAACATTGTCAGTGCCAGAAATAAAGGAGTCGGCAGGTACCCTACACGGCGCCCACAAGGGCCAAAGGAAAGAAATCCCCCCTCAGTGCCAAAGGTGCCCAAGAAGCACTCGCACCAGCCAGAGAAAACAAAAGAACCCTTAAAGAAGAACCCCTTCAAAAGAATTGAAGGGGCCATCGGAAATGGAGCAGACAAAAGAAAAAGAAAGAACCCGGTCAAAGGACCATACAGTACAGGCTCGGGGCACAGAGTAGGCCAGAGACAATGTGGAAGACAGTATGCGAAATGGGCTTAAAAAGAAACAACCCTGAATGCAAGCCGAAGCAGCTCTGCCAATGCTGCAAGAAGAGAGACGATGACAGCATACGGCAGGAGCAGCTGAGCAAAGAAAAGCCAAGAAAAGGTCAGAACAACCAATCAAAAACTGAGAAACAAGGATGAAGGTACAAAATGGCAGAAGACACACCAAACCATGATAAACTGTCGCTGAGAAAACATAAGAACATAAGAATAAAGGTAACTGCAGAAGGCCAATTGGCAAATATGAGACAGCTCCTAGGTGAGACACCTTTAACAAGCCATATATTACCTGTGATTTTTAATATCAGACACCTGTGATATTACCTTCACAGAGATATCCAGACACATCAAAACACCAGATGCAAAGAGTGGAGGAACTCAAACCAGTGAAGTACAGTATGCGAGTAGGCCAATCCTCCGAAAAAGGTGGTGCTGCAGAAAACGCCCAGGTTGGATACCTAGCAAGCAGCGCTAGAACCAAGACCGGCCACCAAGAAGCCAGAAGGATGACCATCATCCTGAAGGACTCCAACAGCCAGAACCTGGAGTAACAGACCAGGGGAGAAGGGCAATACCCCTACAATGACCAGTCCAGCTGAAAGGCAACTGCAAGGCCTTGCAGTTGAGGAATGGCATCTCACAAGAAGGCAGATACCAAGATCATGCTAATGTGAAGAGGTTGACGGCTGGGTGCCAGAACGTCTGGCAAAGCCAGAGGAAGAATCTGGCGTTGATGGTCCATTCCAAATAAAAAGGATGCAACTTAAGACAGACCATTGGCCAAGACGTCGGACACTCCCTGGATGTGAATGGCATGAAGAACCAAACCCCAAGAACTCGGCAAACAATATACTTGAAGCAACCAGCTCCAAAAAGATAAGGACTGAAGAAAGCCCCTGTGGAGAACAAAGAACTACAGGGAAGCATCGTAAATGGAGCTAGATCACAGAGCCTGGAGTAATGTGAGGTGCCAACAACACTGGCCAAACTGGTCACAAAGGTTTTCACTGCTTACCTTTCTCTCATCACTGCTGACTTTCACTAGCTCGGATTAGCCTGGCTAGTGAAGAATATGGTTACAGGAGGTTAGGCTGCGAGATCCCCACAATGGATCTTCTTGCCCAGCAGTTATGTTTCAGCTGGTGGGCCTTGAACCACTAATAAAGTTCTGACTTGCACTCATCTTGCAATTTGTAGAATCTGCTTACCTATCTATTCCAAAGATGCACCGAGTTTCCTCGTGTATAACATCACCTTAAACTCTAGACATCATACACAAAAATTCCCTGAACTTTCAGAGCTGATGCAAGTTTTGATCTCCCCAGTTCCTGTGACAGTGATGCCTTGCCAGGCAGAGAAGCACCATTAACATACCACCTACCTGTCACGTGACACCAGGTCACCGATTGATTAATCATGTGTGCAAGCATCTAATCATCTACCCTTTATCACATTTGGTATATCTGAAGCCTTCACATGTTTCTATTGGCACAAAGTTCAATCAATCAAACCAAACAACTCTTTACAATCTTCATGCTGAATAAGGCCAATTAAACATGACAATGTTAATGAGTATAAGACCTAAACTGGAATATGCAGCAGTTGTATGCTGCTCATATCTTAAGAAGCACATCAATAGGAAAGAATGCAATAAACACGCAAGGAATTTTTTAAACCGGCAACTTCAAGAACAAGTAATCATAAATTCGTGTTAAGGAAACAAAGGTGCCCAAAAACATACAAAAGTTCCCCTTTGCAAACAGTTGCAGAAGGTAGGAACAAGTGAAGGTTAAAACAAAGGCGAAGGAGGCCAAAACCATCAGTGGTTTCAAAGCAGAATATGACAAAGATTACTGGGAAGATGGGACAGCACAAGCATAGCTCTCGTCCTGTAACTACACTTAGGTAATTATCAATCTCTGCTACCCATACATTATCACCTACCAGCTCCTCCTTCAGATCTTTTCACTCCTCAAAAAGAATAAAGTCAGACAAGCCTCCATCATTTGAGATAAATAAAAACAAGTTTGGTATTGCACAAAATGTATGTTGTACATGTTGATTTTTGGTCGTATGGTAGCACATCCCCAATTTACAGTATTGCACCTATGAAAAATCTGCTACAAAGTCATACAGAGATATAGTACATATATCATAGTTTCCAATATTCATATTTTTATTTACATTTAAAAATATATTTCAAATTATTTCGATTTAGATTTCTTTTTCAAACGTGATTTCAACCAATTTATTTTTCAAGTGGATGAGCTAAATCCATTTCATTGTAGCTGAATTGTTTGAAGACACTAAGGAAAATTTAAACAGTAATTTGACAGTAGAATATATTTTAGTGTTGACATGACTTCCCCTTAACAGCTACTGTACAGTATCATTGTATATTCTCCATAAAAATGACAGGGTAATAAACCTCCCGTCACCGCATAAGCTACTTGACAATCACAGCGTTAAGCAACAACTCCCACATTGGCAGTCATCAGGCACATTGAATTTCATTTCCGTGCTAAATTATGCTTCACCCCATATGTATGTATATCTGCTTGCGGCGAGTGCACCAGGTTATCTTACCGTGCATGACACATGTCACTACATTACAAGGAAACACACTTTGAAAACTTTAACATTGCTTTCCCATTTAAGAAGTTTTTCAGCTTAAAAATACATTACTCTTTGGATGTTAATTACATGTTATCTATTGGAGAAGTGGTCATAAGCACAATTTTTTTATACACTGCCAAATTTTATTAAAACCTGATGATTACCACTGTAATTTTATATTATATACAAATTGTTTTGAAAATAAAATGCAAATTAAAAAGTTTTCTATATACATTTTCACAATATATTAAAGGTAGTTTTCTCAAAGACTGGCAATCTTGGTACTTTTCAAGCAAAGTAAAAATCATTGAAATGCATTAAAAATTGTTTTGTAAAATCAAAGGCTGGTTTTTTCTAACATCTATGTTTAAATTATTTCTCTAAAGGAAACAGAATGTATCCATTACACCAAGAGCTTGCAGAACAAATCCCAGTATTCTGGTGTATCATTATAATTACAATACTTTATGAAAACAGACCAATATTATTGACACATGAATAAAAGTCAATGTTATAATCTATACATGAAAAAAAAGCATAAACACAAGCTGTTTTCAACATCAATTTTTCTACCTGAGGTGCATCTCAAGCAGTACTAATAAATTCTCAAATACATATACAGTATTATTATAATTATGAATGCATATTATGACAGATCTATCACAGAAAATATTAAAGGAATGTACTGAACTATTGATTGATGATAAAATCACGATATGCCATTACCACCATTTGTAATATTTGGGTGACGTTCATGAGGCACTTTGGTTCATAATAGCGATCATTCCTAACAACGCACTATTTCAACTTGCTTCAGAAACTCCAATCTCTAGAAGATGTACGTAGCATTTGTATTTAGCAAATTCATAAAAGTCAAGATTTTTACCGTGCTTCAATATAAAATACGTTCACCTAACTTTAGTGCCTCAACTGAACATGGCCCTAAATTAATGTACTATACCAGCAAAGGAATTACAGAAATGCACTGCATTTTTAACTTTGAGCAAAGTGCAAAATATAAAAATATAATCTTAAAACAAACAAACAAAAATTGCATGCATAAAATCCTTGCAACAGGAATCTTAGTGAATCAAAACAACTAGGATTAACACCTCCAGTTTGATACAAGATATTGCAAGCAAGAAGATACTCATCATGAATGTTTCATACTCTGATGCGATACACTATAATTGAGGGCAATTTATGGAACTAGCATTCCCCATGGTTTCAACACAAAGGCTACTCAAATTATTGCTTGCTATTCATTTTCAAGTATGGTGCATTGTCAATATATGAAATTTTTTAACATTTTGAATTCTTTTACAACAGTCATATTTTGTCAAGAGTATCATATACATCAGTCAGTATGGCCCACTTACATTACAAGATGTAGCCAACATCAAAATCTAAGAATTTACAATCATACTTTTAAATAATAAATCTTCTATATTAAAATTATTTATGTACATTCTATCACTGTAGCCATTACCCCATGTACCAATGACTGAATAATCTTAGTTACTGGCTGAAAGTGCCAAAGAACAAATTATCAAAATTATATAAAATGCAGTATCCTACCTTAACCTAACTTATCATTTTTTTTCTTACACACAATAATCTAAATATTAGAAAATATGCTTAACAAGAGCAGACATAATTTACTTAACATTTAACAATATGCTAATTTATACAAAATGCCAACTTCAATATTAGGCAATTAATAAAAGGATTGTAACAAATTTGATTTTTCAATTGCAGTAACTTCCTTATATCATAGGATTTGATTTCCTATCCATTTCTACAGATCAAAATGAGCACTCTCAAGACATGTTAATTGACCTCTACTCTTAAGATTTCCAATTATAAAACATTTATGAGGGCAGCTTAACATGCAGACAAGAAGAATAAAATATTAAGAAGATCATCACTTATTAAAGTTCATCCTATTCTCGAGATTGAATGTTTGCCCAACTGCCAGAATACACCCCAAAAATGTCTCCCACGAGGGCTATGAATGCGTGTCTGCACATACACAAACTTGAGAAACTTTTATTCACAGTAAACGTCAGAACCAAGAACATTTGCTCCTGGAAAACATTTTTGCACATTAAACTATGCCAGCACATTTAATTTATGAGGTAATCTCAACAACTGTTGCTTACTATTGCACTGGTTATGTCAACCATTACAGAACTGTCAAGTGTGCATATATATATGGAAAGCAGTGAACAGACATTAAGTTTATGTAAAGTATGTATGAACACTGTCAAACCAATACTATAATATAAAGTATGATATTCAGTATAACTGATACTGTAGGCTCTCAGTACCACTGGTTTAATCACAGCGGAACAAAATATTCTGATGACGGCAACAAAATAGTTCAGAAATTAAGAAAAAATCATATATTCATCATTAACATTGCTCCTCATGAGAAATGCCAACTATAAAAAAAAAAAACAGCATTACCAATATGGTACGACAAATATATATAAATTTATATATACAAAGTACATCTGAATTCCATTACACATCCAGCAACTATACAATCTGTGCAAATGCTACTAATATAGAAACATCAACATACTTTTGCTTATGTTCGTGTGAGTAAATATGGTACACATCTCATTTGAAAAATAGCATCAAATCTATTCATTTATTCCATCTCCTAAAAATTTAAACATCTCACAATGTATGATTTAAGTACAAAATATAATTATGCATTACTTCAAAGGTACTTGAGGAATATGGCAGAGAAGTTGCCTGAAGTTGAGAATTTTTAAGTACACCAGCCATTACACAAAGTATTATGCCTGTAAGTACTGTAGTACTTAACTGGAATACTAAAATAGGATTGTTCAACAATTCATAAACCCTAATGTGCTCTGAAATTAACCTTCCACAATTAACGATGCACTAAAGAAAAAAGTCTGCCTAACGTTAAATATTTGATTATCTCATTAATTCACAAAAAAATGAACATACAAAATCTTGAAATGATTATTCACCAATTTAATGTTTTTATTTTCCATATATTTATTTTGCTAAAAATTAATAATCTAATTTGGATCTGAACACTTCTTGACTGGCAGATGACCATATATTTAATACAAATTTATAGAATTTGATATTTAACCAAGAAATAAATCCTCTTTCAATAACTAAATGAAATAATGATAATTAATAATAATTATCAAAATGACACTGAAATTTACATTTGTACCTCAAATGCCTTTGTGAGAGTGTTTGGCAGGAAGGGGTTGTTGGGGTTGGCATTACGGGTTGCAAGAGCCGCCCACTCTGCATCAAAAGGATCGTTCCCAGTTCCTGAAGAATTTGTAGTAGTTCCCACCAGAAAATTGTTTGCAGTTGTACCACCTGTGCCATTAGAAGTGGTCCAAGAAGAACTCATGGGATCTCTTGCTGAGCCAACAGCCACATATGGTGTGGCTGCATTTGGAGTTGCACCTAAGGAGGCAGACCTTACCTGCGCCAAAGGAGGGTTACGCTGACCAATAACGGCATTGTTGACTGGTTGTGATCTGAAATTATGATAAACTTATAAAATTAAGCAATCCCATCCCATGTACTATGTCATCTAATACAGTAATATGATGGGCCCAAATTTTATATACTGTACTGTAAACATAATTAAAAATAATACGTTTAGCCATAGGGACACTGTTAGCTATTGCAATAAAACCTAATCTAATTTTCTGACTGTTTCCAACAGGAACACTTTTTTTTTTTTGGGGGGGGGGGGGGGGGGGAGGGGCAAACAAAGTAAAATGCCCTCAAATATTCCACAGCTTCCAGAAGAATAAGTTGAAGCAACCGTCATAGAATTGTACATGCTGGTCTGACAGATACAAAGCAAGAAAGACTGGGAACACCGTTTCCAATGAAATGAAAATGTGAAAATGGAGTAGTCCTGTAGGTATACGAAACAGGATTTCTTGAACTCTTAACGCACTCATTAACCAACCCGTCCTCTTAAAAGTAACGTCACTTTTGGCTCGTATGCGCGGCACTATGGCCAAATTTGGATGTAATTTGAAATGAAATTGACTCACAAAAGTAGTACTGTTCCGTTTTCTGTTTGAGTCGTCCGGCTCACTTGGCCAGCTTAGAAAAGGATTCTTTCCATTAACATTTTTCATACCGTTTTGAAACTTTATAAGAATTTCCTGCCCACCTAACCTATCAGAGGACCCTTAACTTACTGTTGTTGAAAAAAAATCCCAAATTTATATATTTTTTTTTTTTTTCATTTTCAAATTACGTCCATATTCGGCCATATGGGCAAACCGCCAAAAGTGACGTTCTTTTTAAGAGGACAGGTTGTATTAACGCCTGAATTACACGCAGGTTAAAGGTGACACTCCTGTGGTGAACACGTACGTATGTGTAATTACCTAAGTGTATTTACAGGATGAGAGCTACGCTCATGGTGTCCCGTCTCCCCAGCACTCTGTCATATAATGCTTTGAAATTACCGACGGTTTTGGCCTCCACCACCTTCTCACCTAACTCGTTCCAACCGTCTACCACTCTGTTTACAAAAGTGAATTTTCGTATATTTCTCCGGCAGCTTTGTTTTCATTAGTTTAAATCTCTTGTTCTTGAAGTTCCGGGTCTCAGGAATTCTTCCATATCAATTTTATCGATTCCTGTTGCGATATGATCACTACATTCAAAATAGTCTCTTTTTCTTCTATCTTCTAGTTTTTGCATATTTAATGCCTCTAACCTCTTCTCGTAGCTCTTGTCCTTCAGTTCTGGGAGCCACTTAGTGGCATGTCGTTGCACCTTTTCCAGTTTGTTGATGTGCTTCTTAAGATATGGGCACCATACAACCGCTGCATATTCCAGCTTTGGTCTAATAAAAGTCGTGAACAATTTCTTTAGTATTTTTCCATCCATGTATTTAAAAGCAATTCTGAGGTTAGAAAGTGTAGCATAGGCTCCCCGCACAATGCTCTTAATGTGGTCCTCAGGTGACAGTTTTCTATCTAGAACCACACCTAGATCCCTTTCTTTGTCAGAATTCTTTAAAGATTTCTCACATAATTTATAGGTTGTGTGGGGTCTATGTTCTCCAATTCCACATTCCATAACATGGCATTTATTCACATTAAATTCCATTTGCCAAGTGTTGCTCCATATACTTATTTTGTCCAGGTCTTCTTGAAGGGCATGACAATCATCTAGGTTTCTTATCTTCCCTATTATCGTAGCATCATCAGCAAACATGTTCATGTAATGCTGTATTCCCACTGGTAGATCGCTTATGTAGGCAATGAACATTACCGGTGCAAGAACTGAACCCTGTAGTACTCCACTCGTGACATTCCTCCAATCCGATACCTTACCACTGATTACGGCCCTCATTTTTCTGTCAGATATGAAATTTTTCATCCATGTTAGTATGAACCTTTGGGGCACCCGGGGAAGCAACCAACCGAGTACGTTGCAGCAACCTATACCTAGCATGCAACGCCTGAGATGCCTGCACCCAAATAATGTCAGCAGTTGATTGGGTGAATAGTCACAAACATCCAAAACTGAACCCCCGGAACGTGTCCACTCACAGGGGCCTAGCAGGGGGTACCACTGAACAACAGAGGTCACAAGACCCTAATATAACTGGGGGCAAGGGACACCAAGGCAGACCCTCCCACCAGGCAAAAACAAAATTAAAAAGAAAAAACCCACAAGAGGACAACATACCCAGGAGGAATAGAGCCAGCTGCTGTCATAGGTGAAAACTAGCTGTGCAGTACCCTGTGCCCCTACCAGTGCAAAAACTACCACTTGCCCCAAGGTAAACAAGGGAAGAAACCCCCCCTCCCCCCCAACACACACAAGGCGGTCAATCACCGAGCAGCAAAAGCAGTGTAGTGTTGAGGTACACTACTCTACCAACAGAGGTAGTCCCCAAGGTGACTTGTGGAGGATACCCCCAAGCCCCAAGGGCAGTTCTTACAGGGCACAGGGAAGGAAACCCTAAGCATATGCAGCTCAAGTACCTGAGAATAGTACTCCCAGCTCGCACGCCACTGTAAGAGCAGTACTGGACACATGGCACAGCACAACATGGAGAGAATCTAGAGCTGGAGCCACACAACTGTGCCATAATCACATCAGCCAAAGAACTGCAGGGTGGATCACCAGTGTGGGGCTCTGGGGCTCCCTTTTCTCCCCTCCTAGAGAGGGAGGAGCCGCACAAACGTGTGGCGCGGTTCATGTGACATCATGCTCGTTTGCTCGTTTTCATTTGGGAGTTCAGTCCATTCGTTTGTCTATTTTAGTTGTTTTAACCAGAATAGGGGGTTTGTTTTGAGGCGCATACCTTTATGGGTGCCTGGCCCGATCGATGGGAGACATAGAATGCTCCAAATCCCTTATGCATTTCTATAGGCCATTGCTCCTCGTGCCTTTCTGAGGGGGCCAGGTTCTGGCTCATGGTCCCCGGTAGGCCAGAACTCCAGTCACACTGATTGATGCCAAAGTCTAATGATATACATATCAGCCTGGATAGCTCTGGGGAGTCGAAGGAGCTCCCCCCAGAAAATTAATGAAATTTTTCTTTTACCAGTAATGTCCAGGCACTCTCTGAACAAAGGAAATGTTACAATGCTTTAGCGTTGGTTCAAACTTACCCTAATGGTGAATAAATCCACAAGTGCCGTGACAAGGGTTCGAACCTACGTCCGAGAGGATCCCAGACGTGCCTTAATCGACTGAGCTACGACATGGTATTTGTTCATTTCATGCATCACACTATTGTGATTTCTGTGTGTGTGTTACCCTAGTGGTGGTGTGGTGGTTCAAGCTTACCCTGGTGGGGGTTCAAACTTACTTTGGTGGTGTTTCAAACCTGATACCTGCTTGATGGGGTTCTGGGAGTGCTTTTACTCCCCAAGGCCAGGTTTGACTTGTGAGAGCTTGATACAACAAGCTGTTGCTTGGAGCACAGACCCACATATCCACCACAGCCCGGTTGGTCCGGCACTTCTTGAAGAAAACTACTTAATTTTCTCTTGAAGATGTCAATGGTTGTTCCGGCAATATACTCACTGGGAGGATGTTGAACAACTGTGGACCTCTGATGTTTATATAGTGTTCTCTGATTGTGCTTATTGCATCCCTGCTCTTCACTGGTTTTATTCTTCATTTTCTTCCATTTTGTTCACTCTAGTATGTTGTTAT